AATGCGATACTAGGCGTGTCCGTCGTCTGGTTGGAGCCATAGATGTACGATGTAATGTTCACGCCTGGAGATTGTGGATCTGCACATTTAACGGTGACGGATTGTACGAGAGCGTAGAAGTGACCTATGTTTGAGAATACAGGGATGAGATTTATTTAAAATCCGTGGAGATGGCGGCTTGGATACACTCACCCGCAGATATGTAGTCCGGGTCCTGCCAGTTGATCATTCCTCCCGACCATTGGACAGTGCCGGGTGCGCTAGTGTTGATACCTGCTGGCCAGAGACTAGAACCGAGGTAAATAGATAAGCAGAGGGATCATAAGCAGTAAAAAAAGAACCTGCCTCAGTTGGATTCTCGAAGGCGTATTAGGATACTCGCTGAGACCAGTTGTAGCGTCGATAGCGTCGGACTCGTTGATAGTACGGACAACGTTTCCATCGATAGAGAACGTCAAGGCGGCAGGCTGCCAGTCAATCTAGAAGTATTAGTGAGGCCGGATAGTACGCTGCAGAAGAAGAGAACGCACGGTGTACTCGTGATAGTTGGAGAATGTGTCCGCAAGTCCTGCTTCTATCGCTCCGTGGGTCACGTTAGCTATAAATGGATATAAGATTTCGGTATGAAGGTTGGTGGAAAGACACGTACGGATAACACCCTGCCAATAATAATTCGTCTGTCCGGTGGTGGTGTTGGCTCCAGGGAATTCCCAGTCGATCTCATCCTTGATATCACTCATGGTAATGAACGCTGTGACGACGCCTGCCCATCGTCCAGTTTTAACTGCTATAACGTTAATTTGGATTGGCATTTTGTTCTGAAAAAAAGAAAGAAAGAAGAAAACCAAAGACGCACGCGTGGCGGAGATAGTCCAATAATGAATGTATCGAGTAGAGGAAAGACGGGTACCGCCATTGGTTTCGGTGAGGATCAAGCCAAGCTCACCGCCGGAGGAATTGGTGTTTATAATGGAGCCTTTGTCGACGACCCAATCTACCAGGAAGAGCCATATCAAAACTTGGTTCAGTTCAATAGGCTGAGTAGCTTTTACCGTATTCAGCAGCGTTCCCATCATATTGACTTGCATTGGTGAGGATTCGGGAGTTATTTGCAAAAGTGTACTACAAACGACGATGAATCCCATTCACTGGCATGAGGCAAATTTAGCGGAAGGGACTGACTGTCGCATCCTCGCAGAGTGGATTTGGCTTGCAGGAATCGAGCGAATGGGATAGTAAAGGATTGCAACCTCCAAGGCAAAAAAACTATGAAGATGGTAAGTAAGCGCTCCAGTGGCGACGCGTTCAGCGCCAATCTATCAAGCAGCTCACGCTATCTCTTCCACAGAAGCCATATTCACCTACTCGCCAGTCAGTTAACGAAGGAAATTCTGCGATTTGAATTCCTTACTGCAGCAAGGTTCTGAAGCAGGACATGGCGATGTCTCGTTACTGCACAAAAACTCGGTCAAGTTGGATACGCGACTTTGCAAATCTTGACGCACCACAGGATACCTTGAGAGTTGACAGCAAGGATGAAGCACGAAGATAGAGCTACGGCCACCAGGGTCGAAAGCATCGTTAAAAGAGCGATGAAAAGAGTGATGAGATGGTGGTCGTAGAACCAAGCGTGGCACGATCGGGATAAGCAAAAATCGAACACGAGTTTTTCGGCTCCTAGCGATTCTGTGAATCCATGCAAGAAGGCGCCCTGCAACGTTTCTACGGGCCAAGTAGGACTCACAAGACAAATTTCCAGTCAAGGCGACCAAACAAACGCGTATAACGCGTCGAGGTCCAAACGGAAGACAGGAGTGGCTGATACAACTTGGTAGCACCCTTCGCTTTCTTTTCTTCCATCTTCACCAGGAAGGAGCGACTTCAAACTCCATGGACTCTTCATTTCGATTTCCTTTTCCTTGGAGTGTTTCCTGCTCCAAGTCAGGAAGCTCGCCATGGTCTACTGAAATATTCGCCTGGATATTCGCGTTACTGAAGAATAAAGTAACGATGATCCCGAATTCCATCGGATTCTGATTTCCGCTCAGTCCGTGCGAAGACGAATCTCGTCTCGTCACAAAGTCAGACGTTTCACCCGAAATTTTCATTCTTTCGTTGAATGGAAGAAAGTCCTGGACGATCAACTTTTCGAAGTCCATTTAGAGAACATTTCTGGTGGCCTTTTACGGATGCGTATCGGACTCGGAAATTATGCTTGGCCAAGATGTAGGTGCACCGTCTTCGCATCTTTCTGGAAGCCAATGGATCATCAAAGCCATGCTTGAGCAAAAAGTCAACGAATACATGCTTCAGTCTACAAACGTATTCGAACAAACTTCTCTCCTATTTTGCCAAACCTATAAGAGCCAAGCAGGCTTTCGTGCCCTCCCTAGTACAAATCGCCACATAGAGAGCCATAATGCTACTGAAGCTCGCTCTCACCTTGGCCATTTGCTTAGTTTCAACACTTGCAGGCCAGGTCCAGTTGCCGGATCTTCAGCTTCCACCCAATTCAGCCGTCGTAAAAAGCACGGTGAAGCATATGTTCATCGACAGCTATAACGCATACAGGCGAGTCTCTGTTTTCATCCCCTTGTCGTTAACTGTTAACCGAATGAATGCTCACAGAAAGTACGCTTGGGGCCATGACGATTTGCTTCCCGTTAGCAACTCCTCTAGTGATGGAAGAAACGGATGGGGAGCCTCGATTATTGATGGAATGGGAACAATGTGTATCATGGGTCTTGACGTGAGCCGCACTCTCTGGATGAAGGATATAACTTATATAACTCGCCTAAATTTTAGGACTTCTTCGCTGAAGCTCTAAACTTCACTCAGGGTATTGATTTTAGTAATTCGAAGGTTTCGGAGACTGTCAGGTTTACTATCCCCTTACCTTTCACTCGAGATCCATCGCTTACATGTATTCTACAGCGTCTTCGAAACCACAATTCGTTATATGGGTGGCCTGCTCAGTGCTTATGAGCTGAGTGGATACGAACATCAGATTCTCGTTAAAAAGGCGCAGGAGGTCGGAGATAAGATGGCGTACGCTTGGAAATATCCTGGTAAGAAATTCACTGGAAGTATCAGTTATACGGATCCTATTCAACTCATTCTTTCAAGGGTCAAACCATTCCATATGGCGAAATTTGGTTCGACGACAATACAGCTGTGGTCAGTACGGTAAGTGATGCCTTCAAGACGTCTCGTGAATGGCAGCTTAAAACTTCTTCTTTCTTTGTCAACTGTGCATATAGTCCAATATCGCGGAGGCCGGAACAGTGCGTATGGCTTTCTATGAGTATTTCATCATCGATAATTGTTCTCTTAGCTTGATATTGAATGGTCTCGACTTTCTCAATATACCGGAAACGATACTTACCGGTCATTGGCGGAAGGGTCGGTCAGAACTATTGCTAATATGGTGAGCAGGTGTTGCAACAGTGTCAAGTTGTTTTAACGCCCCTTGTTTTTAGCCAGTCCCACTCCCTGGTACGACGAACGTTCTAGCTATCTTCGATGGTTGAATTCCCCTTCTCTAGGTTTGGCACCACAAGGGATCGACCCATCCAGTAACACATTCGTCGGCGAGTATCTTGTAAGTCGGCATACCATGCTGCCAGTTCATAAACCCTCTGACAAATGTTTCCAGTCATGGGGAGGAGGTTCTGACAGTTACTTTGAGTACTTAATCAAGTACCCGCGTTTAACCAACACAAGTAAGTGTACTACTTATTAACCAAGAGTCGGACCATAACTGACGCTCTAAGATGACACCATTTTTGCGGATACATGGGCAGCAGCAGTCGATTCTTCCATTAAGAATATGGCCAGGGTACGTTAAAATGCGAAGCTCAGACCCCTGAATGTTGATTTTGTTTGCTTTTCGACTAGAATTCCACTGTGGGCAACTATACTTACATTGCTGATTGGAACGAGGGCGAGCTCATCGATGTCGGGAGTCATCTCGCATGTTTCAATGGCGGGAACTGGATCTTGGGTAAGGAGCGTTGAACCCTATAATGGAACCAGTACTAACCGCATGAGTTGTGTAGGTGGTAAACTTCTCAACAACCAGACCATCTTTGATTACGGACTGGCACTCGTAGGAAGCATGTTGGAACACATATGCCAGCACCGCGTAAGTTCGCTGTTCTTTTAGCTTGCTACAGTTCTGATTTCCATACTAGGACCGGTATCGGTCCTGAAGTGTTCCAATGGAATGCAAACGGTGTTCCATCTAGTCAAAAGGCGTTTTATAACAAGCACGGGTTCTGGATTAGTGGTGAATATCTCAACTTGTAGAGGGCCTTCGAAGCTCACTGGCGATCTCGTAACTTTAGCCGCAGACTATATCCTTCGTCCCGAGGTTCTCGAATCCAACTTTTATGCCTGGCGAGCAACAGGGGACACCAAATACATTGCCCGTGCTACAAGCGCAGTGCACAGTCTAAAGAAGTATCTTCCTCAACCGTCTGGGGGTTATGCTGGTTTGAATGATGTAACGAACGCCGCTGCGGGTTATATTGACGACCAACAGTCATTTTGGTTTGCTGAAGTATGTACTTAGCGCATCTTCGAGTTAGGAAAGTCACTCATTTATCTTTCTCCTAGGTTTTGAAATACTTGTAAGGCTCAAGTCAGTAGTACATATTCCTCGTCTAATCTCTCCATATAGGTACTTGACATTTGATGACCCAGAACACATCAGTCTCAATGACTGTGCGTACTCTTCCTCCTGCGTCTTCCGGAATCCGAGACTCATATTTTGTAACTTCAGATGTGTTCAACACGGAAGGACAACCATTCCAAGCACCTCCTGCAAAAGATGTTTATGGAAGTGGTCAACCTGCCATTATCAAAGGGAAATTTGTGACCAAGACCAACTTGCCTTTGCCTGCAATCAGCCCTAATAAGTTTCTGCCTGTACTGATTTGAGTGCTACATGATGTTGACATGTTGACATGATGACCAAGTGAGTAAACTCTGCTATTGTGTCCAATGTGGTGTAGTGGCTAACATTGCTGTCTTTCATGAGTACCCACTTTGATAGTTACACAGCAGCCCGGGGTTCGATTCCCCGCATTGGAAATATGAAGGCTGCTTTTGGAAATGAAAAGCTGTTTTTTTTCGTCCGATTTGCAACCGAGTACTTGACATCATACACGATACACCATATTGTAACTTTGCCAATCAGTTAATTCTTCGCTCCTCTCATCTGTAGCGGCTGCATCGTTTTCCACTAGCTTCATCCGACGCCTCTCATTCAACCACGAGAGATAAAAACGCAAACCTAAGGACTCTACAACCACTAACGCATAGCAGATCATGATCGTGCGGAATGCCGTTGGATAAGTGGGAGCCTCAGAAGTTTTGAAGAATTGTGGTCCGGCGCTGAGATATCCAGAATGCGTCAGTGAATAATATAAAGTAACAAAAAAATGGAGGTGACACATACATGTTGCCCGTGCAGTACGCCAGGAAAAGGACTGCAGTGACGGTCATTTTCTTCGTTACACCCATGTAATTGGTGGTCATTAAAGACATAGCCAGTGGAAGAGCGCCCGGACCTTGTGTAGCGAATTTCAAAAATAGGACCATGGTAAAGAGGGGAAATAGGTATACATACCCGTCGCAAGTAAGTAATATGCAAATAACTTGACGCCGTTGCTTACACTCGTCGAGTAAATGAGGGCGCTTCCTGCTACAGGGGGGAGGACAACGAGGGCAATAAGATAGCAGGAAAGATTAGCATATTTGCCGGCAAGCCATCCGCTATGCATATACATGATAAGAATGAATCGATAACTTTTTAAGAGGTCGGTACACACGTGAGGAGGATGGTAAAGAATGCGATGAAGGAGGAAGGTATTCCAACTAGTGTTGTCTGAAGACTGGTAAATCCGAAACCCTAGACCTTGCCGTTCAGCGAAAGTTTTAGAGCACATATAGACAAACTTACCTCGAGTACGAGATTAGCAAAGTTTTGCGTTCCAGAATTAGGTATCTGGGGAAGTTTAAATCTTTTGGACGAAGGGGTTTTCGATGAAACTGAAGTACCTGCGTGCACAATGAAATTCCAAAAAAAAACCACGTCTTTGGGTCAATCAAGCACTCGATGACCTGTTCAAACTTCCAAGCACTCGTTGCCCGAGTCGTCTTCCCTGTTCCGGCTTGAGCAATCTTGTTGAGAACGTGTTTCTTCTCTTCTTCATTTAGAAAGGTGGAGGACTCTATACTATCCGGGATTATGAAGAGCATGATGATACCCCATGAGCCCGTAGCAATGCCAAAGATCTTCATGCTCGTTCGTCAGTCATGATTGTCTCTCCAGCACAAATAACTCACAATGAACAACCACTGCCAAGGCGAGATCGAACTCTCTATCTTTCCAATGGCATACGCCAATACACTTCCGACAAATCCGCCGAACGAATTCCCAGCGAACCAAGTCCCAGTCCGGAATGGTATTTCCTCCCGCGTATACCACATCGAAGTAATAAAGATGAATGCAGGGGTTGTTGTAGCTTCGGCGACACCTAGCAAAAAGCGAGTAGTGGCTAAGCCTCCAAAATTGGTGCAAAGTGCCGTGCATGCTACAATAACTCCCCAAATAATGGTGTTGATGGAAACATATCGTCCAACAGGTAGCTTCTGGATCAGGATCGTTGTAGGGTATGTCCATGCCAGGTAGCCAAAGTAGAAGATGCTGGATACCTAGCTGTACTGTTGTCCAACGAGATGCTGTATTTACTCTCGAACCTTGCTCAAAATGGACGCAGAAAAGTAGACGTACCGTATCCGTGCTCAGCCCAAACACAGAGGCGCTCGATAGGATTGCCTTGTCAGTATAATTTAGGACGTAAGATAGAAACATGATAGGCATAAGACGCAGGTCAATCTTGCGAAGTACGCGGCGAGCCAGAGCAACATCGGAAGCAGACTCGTATCTCAAAGACGGAAGGTTGGACGCTGTGGGCGAAGCATCTCCTTCAAAGACTTCTTCAGGATCCTTGTTCATCATCGTGAAGACTCAGAAGAGCCTGGCCAGGTGGTGGCAAGTAGGGAAGATAGCTTCATTTTGTAGCGGAACGACATCGTTATCCAAAGTAAGCCTTATCTCGTGCACAAGGCGGAAACGGATCAATTTTACCCGCGTGAGCCTGCGCTCGTTATTTAATCTCCTCGGCAGCTACAAAAGAGTTACAAGTACATATGCGTGAAAGGGTATAATCAAGGTATAAGCTCATATCCATTCTCCATTCCCAATTACTGCAACCGACTGCGTCCTTCTTCGTTGAAGACTCCGATCCTGAACGAACGCCATCGACTTGGCCCGATCTTTAATCTTTGACTTTGTATTCGGGAGTACCTCCTGCTCTAACGACCTCGCCCTACTCAACGCCAAACTCAGCCCAGCCTCTCTCCGACGGAAACCAAACACAGGTGCGCTACCCATCCTCGAATGCCGAGAGGCGATTGTGGTGGAAGACGGCAAGGAAAAGAACTCTTCAGGTGTCAGAAGAGGTACGCTCTGTCTAGGCGGAGCAACTGGCTGTAGATAACGGTTCGAATCAACGGAGCGAATGGAATGAGTATAGTCAGACGAGGTGACCGAGAACCTGCTTCGCGGAAAATCGGAGACAATGTCGATAACCTTGTCTTTCTGCGGTTTCTGAGGCTTGGACTGCTGAGAACCCAGCGAGTCTCTTCCCGAGCGAAAGTATGACAAAAGTGAATCGCGATGGTTGTGGAAAGGTGAGATCTGACTCGGAAGCTTCATCCACGCCGGTAAGGACGAGAGTGCTGGCTGACTTCCGTCTGCATTGCCAGATCCCTTGGCTTCAACCGGAAACACACTAGAATCCTCCAAATCCTTTACTACGCGAGAATCCAAGTCGTGATGAACACCGCGCGCGAAGAGCTTGCAGCGGAGACGCTTGGTGTTCAGAAGAACACAGGTGATTATTGAGAATACAAGAAGACCTGAAAGTATGCTACCGAAGATGATAGGCATGCGGTGGTCGGAAGTATCGTGAGCGGCGCCTGCATTGCTAGAGGTAGGAGCTGCTGCAAAAGCGACCGGGGAAGTAGGCATCGGACTGTGCAGATCCAACGTTGAAGTGGTATGATCTGTAAGAACGACTCCTGGGCCCAAATGAAACAGAGTCGCAGAGAGGCTTTCAAGTGCACTGACACTGGTAGAGGACGAAGATGTAGTGGGTATGGAAGAGGAATCTATACCGGTGAATGAAGAGACAAAGCTCGTAGATGGAGTTGCTTGGAGCTGTGAGGCGTCGTCTGTATCTGTCATAGCAGCAGTGACATAGACAATCGGAGTGGTAGCTGGATAGCTTGAAAAGCTCGAAGACGCTGGAAAGGTATAGGATATAGTTGGTATGAGGTCAAGTTCTGGCGAAAGGCTGCCAGGGATAGCGTCACTGTTAGACTTTTCCATGTCTTTTTCTGCGGCTTCCAGGGACTCAAAGAACTCGGGAAAATAGTCTTCGAGAGAGTTCTGGAGCATTACTGGATGGGCGAGAACAGTTGTGGCACCTGCAAGAATGAACAAGATGGAATATGACGCTGGAGTCAAAGAGAGCGTTGAGGAGTAGTGTTCCATAGGTTGTAAAATGAGTGTGTTATGCCGTGTGGGCGAGATAGTAGGAGATAGTTCTGGATGATGTATGTGAGCGTGAAGAAGAATGAACTGGAGGGCGCTTAAGCTCTTAAGCCTTATGAGTAGCCGGCGGCACGTGTACCGTTCCATTGTCTCATCGACGCGTACGTAGCCTGGCCGTCTTGTAAATACGTTGGTGGAAAGTCGATGTGTAACATCTGAGTAATGACAATACTTCTGAGGACGGATACAATAATATTCAATAAACAGTTTGTTATAATTCCAGTTCTATTTCATCAATGTCACAAGCTCCTCTGGAACTGTAGGTCGCTTCTTCCACTCTTCCATCCAGCTCTTTCTCTCGTCATCATCAAAAGGCAGCCCAAAGACAGCAGTGACGAGCCATATATCCTTCTCCTTCTCCTCATACTCCGCGCGCAACACAGGAAGCGCTGCCCGCGCTGAGATTAAATTTGTGTTGGCATCCGTTCGAAGAGCTTGACCTTGCCTGGTCGCATCCGGAGAAAGGTCCACAATACCCGACACACCCGCTTTTGATACAACCCGTGCTACCCCTCCAGCTGCATATGTGCCTTCGCTCTCGGAATCTTCGCCGCCTATGATAGATTCGAGCGCTCTTTCGTCCTGGCCCTGCCCGTAAATAGCCCAGCTACCTTCGGCAGCCGATATAACCCTGTTCCCAGCCTGCATACGGACACGATGGATCCGTACATGCCACAACGGAGCGTCGAGAGTAGGAGGTATGAGCCAAGTCTCGATTTCCACGTCTGGGAAGGGATACCACATAGACCGCAGCCAACAATGCTTCTCGTCTTTTCCTTCGAATCGTGCCTCCTTCGTGACTCGTCGACATTTCCACGTCTCTTCCCCATCTCCACTTATGGCTAGCGTACTGTCACCACCGAGCTCCTCCAGCGTCAGCGTCGCCACGGGCACGCTATAGCCAAACGCAGCAGAATACGCAAGCTTGCCATATTTTGCTGCACTTTGCTTGACAGGATATGAGCACTGCTGCCCGGAAGAAAGGAGGTATGTATGCCCGCCGAGGTTCGTAGTGAGCTGCAATGCATGTTTCATCACCTTGGTGGTGTTCCTTAGGCTGACAGGATACTCTTCCTCTTCCACTGTCCAGAACGTACTGCTTTCTGGGAGAGCCAGACAGATAAATGCTTTGCATGCCCAATATGGAGATCCTGGAGAATTATAATTCTCAAGAAGGTTGTGGTTGGGGTAGGAGAAGCCGAGAGTCAAGATACCCGAGCGATCGAATGCTCCGGGCTGGGTATGAGCCCAATAACGGATGTTACGCAGCTGTAGCCCCTTGATAACGCCCAAGGTGAGAGGCGCAGGAAGTGAATAATTCACTCCGTCAACTCCTTCCGATGGATCAAAAGCAAACGCAAGGGCTGACCAGAAGGCAGACATGGCAAAACGGTACACCAGACTCCGA